GATTTTTTGTGTGTTTTGAGACATTTTTGTGATCCTGAGCAGTTAAGGGATTCTGCTGGGACAACAGCTCTATGATCCTGGCCATAAAAGCACTTTGGGAGCTGCCGCCACTTAGCAGTAGTGTTTCAGGGACCTCGCAGCAAGCTCAGCCCCATAACAAGCAGTAAGACAGGCAGGGCAATGCACCTTTCAGGGATGATGCTGGCCGGGAGCTGCAGCACCCTGCAGGCTGCCCCAGACAGATGCCACTCGCACGGGAACAGTAGCCACACCAGGGCCAGAAGCAGACATCCTGCATCACTGCTGGCTAGTGGTAATGCTTCAGAAAGGAAGGACAGCTGGGGTGTGTAGGGCCTGGTGACCACTTCTCTTTCTCCTGAGCTGGCGTGGTGTTGCTCACAACACTTATGGACTGGTGAAGTGCAAAGCCGTGTGTTGTATCAGTCAGTCTGACGGCTTTGCTGTGCTTGGGCCGGTGAAACAACCCCTCACTCACCAGTGTCTGGCCGCTGATAAGAGCCCTATCTAGTTCCACACCTCGAACAGGAGGCTCTCCCTGTGGCTGTGCTCCTCCTGCCAGGTCTGTATCGCAGGCAGCAGAAGTACCGTGCTGCCTCTTCCCATCTGCCATGCCTCCCTCCTGCCCAAAGCAGTCATCCCTGCTAGGGGCTCCAGGGCTGTAACACTCCCAGGGATGCAGTTGTCTCCACCATTGTCGCTGAAAAGGAATCTGGGCCAGAAGTAATCAAACACACCACAGTCGACACCGGGACTAAAACCTCAGATACTGGCACTGAATTCCACGCTTTAAGCCATCACCTACCCACCACTGGCAGCAACTCCCAGAGCTGCACCAGAAATCCCACATTAGACAGCTGCCAGGGAGCAACAAAACAGCACCCTCCTCTTGTCTAGGCTCAGCCTCACAGAAAGAAGAAACCCACAGTTTGGACAAATTAACCCCTGCTGGCGACACTAAGCAAGTGCTGAAGACAGGCAAAGACCAGCATAAAAGAAAGTAGGTTACTGCAAGTAACTACCTTCTTCATTTAACTTCACTGAAGCATTTGCAGCTTTCTTGCAGGAAGGAGCAGTGACAAATGTGTTTTGGCAATCACGCAGAGCATCAGGAGGGAGACTGGGCCTCCAGCTGCACTGCTCACTGCTAAGCCCAGGCGGGTATCACAGTTTACACAGTCAGCTCAGCACAGAGGAAGCAGGATATGACCCGCAGGGGCTGACCACACACCAGGGGCTGACCAGGTGTAGGAGAGCTGGTTTTCCACGGTCACGCAGCACATTGCGCACAGGGGACTCCAGCTCCTGCCTTGCAGAGCTGTCAGCCCTGGGGAAAGGAAAGCACAGGGCTCTTCCATATCTCAACAGCATCCAGACCCATCTAGACCCAAGGACTGGGCTTTCGGAAGCTTAGACAGAGCATTGTCAAAGCTAGGGAGCAGTGAAATGCCAAGAAAGAGTATTAGAAGTTAAAAGCAACTTGCCCAGTACATGAAGGCAGCATGTTTCCCTTTGGGATTCACCGTAGCCTGCAGAGCTCCCCCAGGCAGGCCAGCTCAGCCCCTTCCCTCTCAGCCCCACTCCCCCAGTGAGCCAAACCCCCTGCAGGTGGGGTGACAGACCTGTGCTCTATAATGGCCTACAGAGGGCTAAATGATGGAAGTCAGGAGGGCCAGAGCACATTTATGATGTTAGGTCTAGCTGGTGAGACAGAGCCACAGCTTAAGGCTCAAAGCATCTGTTTGTCTCCAGGACACTGAATGTTGTAAGGGGTTGGCAAAAACTGACAGGGAATGTTGGTGTCTAGGGAGCAGATGCTATTACCTTGGAGAACACAGACACATTCCCAAAGGAGCGAGAAGAGAAATAGGAGAGCAGACCTCGGACTGCTGGAAATTAATTAGTAAGCTCCCCGGGGATCTGCTTTTGGAGGTATTGGGGACCATCAGTGCTGGTCACTTTTTAAGTGCCTTCGTTTAGGAGAATAGGAGCAGGCAATGCTAAAGGGTTGAAGTCAAGCAGGTGGGGCAGGAGGACAACTTGGCTGAGCAGAGATCTTCTGGAGCTTAGGCAGAAAAGGAAAGTGTACGGCCACTGCAAGCAAGGCTGGGTGACGCAGGATGCTGTTCCCCATCGCAGGGGGAAAATTCGTGGGGCCAAAGCTCAATTAGAGTTGAAGCTGGCCAGTGCTGTGAGGGACAATAAAAAAGGCTTTAAGTATCTTAACATCAAAAAGAGACAACGTTTATCCATCCCTTGATGAGATTGGCCACCTCACAGACAGGGACATAGACAAAACGAGACGTTTAATGCCTTCTTCACCTCTGCCTTCAACACTGATGATGGTCTCTGGGGGTTAGTCCTGGGTTAGAGGGCTGTGGCTGCAGGAACAGCCAGCAGAACTCACATGGGAGCAGAGAAGGGAACAGAGAAGGCCTGCGAGCAGTCCTGCGACTGCCAGCCCTGCAGAGACAGAGGTGAGGTGTTCCCCGTCTTGCAAAAGGCCTGAAGACAAAGGGAAGGAGCTGTCCTTGCCAGGCTGGCATGCGAGACAGGAGGCTGACAGCCCAGGAGCACTGCCGGAAAAGCAAATAGAAAAGAAAGTGAATGCATGGAACGAGTCCCAGGGAGCCAGTGGCAGGGTGGAAGTCCCCAGCATCCAAACCACACCTGGAAGAGACAGCGAGAAGGAAGAGGGATGGCAGAGAAACCTCTGCTGAGAGCCAGGCAGCTCTGGGCCAGGTGTTTCCCAAACCTAGGGAGCTAACACCCAGGGAAGAGACCTGCACAGGCTCTGAAGGGGGACACACTCATAGCACTTGTGGAAAATTCCAGCCCTACTTAATCTCCTGGGGCTCCTGTAAGATTGTGACACAGAGAAAGGTACCAAACAGGAAAGAATTAGAGGAAAATGCCTCTCCTCTGGCAGCCACTATGGCTGTGCCAGGAATTAGCAGCAGCTGTGGAGCAGCCAGCCCTGCCTCCCCTCCTCCGGCCGCCTCTATAAACACCCAGAGCTTACTCAGAAGATTAGAAGGGAACGGGGCAAAAGACAACAGAGTCTCTTTTGTAATGAGGAAGGATTATGGCATCAAGTGACCGGCTGCAGCTCCCAAGTGGGTTTCAGGCTCCTTAGCACACCGTGTCTGCCAGGTTCAATCCCCCCACGAGCCGAGAGGAGGCGGGTTGTGGCGCTGGCCACAAAGGACCCAGCAAGGACACGTGCAGGACCAAACCTTCACCATCTCCGGTGCAGCCCAGGAGCCCATGACTGTGAGTATCTAGTCCTCACAGGAGCAGGTAGATTCCTCCAAAGATTAGCCGGTCGATCTGTCTGTCTTGTGAACTCATCACTGCTCTCACTCTATCTGTCCTCTGTGTCTGTTCTCTGCATCTGCAGGCGGCGTTTGGGTCTGTTTCCAGTGTTACACAGTGGTAACACACCTTATACAGGCAAATCTGGCTTGCTACTATGAGATCTTGATCATTGTGGACTCCCGTTGTCTAATTAGTGTCAGCTGATCCCAAGGTGCAACCCCTAGATCGGACGGATCAGCCAGGGTGATGTGGGAGCAGGCACAGGGGTGGCAGTGCCACGCTCTCCCCATGACCCTATGGGTGGCATTGGGTTGTGTGAAATCTGCACAGGGATGGCTCCTCGTCCCCAAACTGACCCCTTTGCCACCGCCGGTGCTGCGGCGAGCTGCTTCACGCCACAAATCTCAACCCCAATCGGTGCCATGAGCGTGCCAGCTACCAAGTGACAACCGGGGACATCCCGCATAGACCAGCGGGCAGGCAGGGAGCTGCCTTCACCACGCAGAGCTGAGGGCAAAATCACTAGGAAAAGCCCCATATCCCGCGCCCGAGCAGGACTGCACAGAGGTGCTGTCCATTATTTACACGGACACGAGCTGAAGTTTCCCATGTTTGGTAAAAAGCGGCTCCGTGTCTGAGTTACGCAATGAGGAGTCTCCCTCAGTGCTTCCAAGCCCCAAAGCACAGAGCAAGCAGCCTGCTTCCTGCAAGCGGCCCCCTGAAAATTTATGGGTGCTCCCATGCATTTCTCATCTGCGTAGCCCATGAGCACATAGGGTCTAGGGTGCTTAAAAACCACTCTTCTCAGTCCTGTGCACTGGCCAAAAAAACACATGGAAAGGGCACAAACGCACATGAGTCTCTAGTTAAAGGTGCCTGAAGGCACTTCTTTGTCTCCATCACTGAGGCAAGAGCCCAAGACCTCGGTATTAACATCAGTGTCACTGCAACGTCCATGTAACACCTGGCGATGTGTTCTGTCTTAGAAGTTCCAACGCTTTTCACATTGGATAATTATTTGTGAAACAATCTATGCTTGCCTGGCATGGATTACACTGGCTTGTGTTTTTTTTTTTAAAGCTTCAGGTTTACATGAGTCTGATAATTAATTGATGATTAATAATTATCTATTAGGGCTAGACAAGAAGTGTAGCAGGGATGCTGCATGATTGGGAAGTGTTTCATGAGCCTGAATGCCTTCTTTCTTTCGGCATGATTTATTGTGCAATGTATGGTTGAAGGAATGGGGAGGTAAAGTTGCTGGAATTTGAGCTCTGCGAGCCTGGCCAAACTCCAAACCCCATTCCTCGGGTCTCTAACAGGGAAAGCTCTTCTGCCTGCAGGATCGGGACTAGCTCAGGCCAGATATGCCCCCCAGCCCAAATTTCAAGACAGCAAGATTTGTCGGACGAGTGCTACAAAACCTGTGAAATCTACAGGAGTACCTTCATCTGGATCAGCACCAAGAAATCTCCTCATAAACTTCTTCATGGTTTCCTACCTTAATGAATTCGTCTGACTTGTCTTTTGGTCTCTGTCTCTCATTCTTCTTTCCTTCCATCTCATTTGCCTGCTGGGACACTTGATGTTTCTCTGCCTCCTGCCCCTGTTCAGGCTTGCTGGCAGCTTCAGCATCTGCCTATTTTGTGTCTCTGCCAGGATCTGTGATGACAGTGACATACACCAACCGTGTGGCCGATGCCCGCCTAGGCACCTTCTCCCAGCTCCTGCTCCAGTGGAAAGGCAGTATCTACAAGCTCCTCTACTCCGAGTTCCTGATTTTCATCTCCCTCTACTTCGCCATCAGTCTTGTCTACAGGTGGGCACCCTTGCAGCAACACTGACACAACCCCTCGCTCTTAGCCTGTCCCAGAGCAGCACGGGACTGAGACCGAGGTCCTGGTAAAAGGGAACTGGCCAGACACCCGCCAGCCTCTGTTCAGAGGAGGAAAGGAAAGTTCCTTCCTCACTGCGCCAGCACGGCTTAGCAGCTGACAGATTTCCTTTTTCTGGGCTGAAGAGGAACAGTTCCTCTTTCTGGGGATGAAGATTCGCATTCGGTGACTACCTGAGAAGAATGGTATGTAGACACCAAGGCTGAACCAGCACTGGAAGCACCAGTAATAGCAGGAAGCATTAGGAGAGAACTCCCCTCATGTACACAGCCAGCAACACTGGGGCTACGCTCCTGAGAGCAGGCTGCAGACCTGTGATAAGGCAACTGTACTCTGTGGCTGGTCTGGTTTTAGCGAGGAAAACCAGGGACCTCCCCTAGCTGGGTCAACGTGCACAGATACAGCACAGAGGGAGGAAAGCAGCTCTGAGGAAGAGGCAGGAACCCACGTCAAAACAGCCGCTGCTGGCAGGAGCAGAGCTGGGGATGATGTCTTGCAAGATGTTAAATGAATTGTCGTGCACATCCAAGCACTGTGGCAACCCCCTGATACCTGCTAGCGCTCTGCTGGCTTAAAAACATAGATGGCCCTGATCAGACTGCACCACTTCCTGCACGATTTCTGTCCATGGCTACTTCTGGCTCCTTTGGACGTGCCAGCAGGGTGTTTTGGGTGGGCAGGCTGATGTCCTGGGCTGCTCACCCACATCATCTTCAGGCTCACAGCGTGGCCGTGTTGTGGCTGCACATCCTCGCCTTCCCCTGCCATATTCCTATCCCAGCAGGCCTAGGCCTCTCATGTGAGGCTGACGATTATTTCTCTCCCTTTTAGGCTGATCCTCAGTGAAAGCCAAAGGCTGATGTTTGAGAAGCTGGCGCTCTACTGCAACAGCTATGCCGAGCTAATCCCCGTGTCCTTCGTGCTGGGTAAGGAGCCCTGACCGTGAGCGTGCAGGGAGGGAACGGGGCAGCATTTATCTCCCTGCTTTGTCATAGCTCTGCGGGTAGGCAGGATTCACCGAGCAGTTAGTTCCCTCACCCTGCCTTTGTAAAATGCAGAAAGCATCATTTGAAGGCGTGCCTTCACTCATACCCATGAGAGCAGCCACACAAGAGCACGCACACCTCCTGCTCCTTCAGGGTGGCTAACGTGGTCGGCTCCCCTCTAGGTTTCTATGTGGCCCTGGTGGTGTCCCGCTGGTGGGCTCAGTACGAGAGCATCCCCTGGCCCGACCGCATCATGAACCTGGTCTCCTGCAACGTGGACGGGGAGGACGAGTACGGGCGGCTCCTGCGCCGCACGCTGATGCGCTACAGCAACCTGTGCAGCGTGCTCATCCTGCGCTCCGTCAGCACCGCCGTCTACAAGCGCTTCCCCAGCATGGAGCACGTCGTGAGGGCAGGTCAGTGCTGGCACTGCCTCCTGCACGGCTCCGGCCTCAGGCAGGCAGCACCTTGCTGCTGGGCTTGGGGCCAGGAGTTCTGTAAATCACCCCTTGACCTCTACATTGGAGAAGGAAAAGTGCTGCAGTGTGCTCTGGTGTGAGTCCTCAGCATCTGCTCGTGCACTAGCCCTGCCCCTCTGGAATAACTGTTTTTGTTTCCCTATTTCACACCATGCTTGTTCCTACTTGTGGCTGCAACGCCTGTTTGAAAGATGAAGCATCTCCACTTACTTTTTTTTATGTGAAGGGAGTGGAACTAGCAGGTGCATGAATGCAGATATGCTGCAGGTCGCAGGGCATCCCTGGCTGATCAGATTGCTGTAACTGTGCTGCAGCGACTTTCCTAGCAGCTGCTCTGCAGTAAATGACCCTGTGCACAGGCTTACAGCAGAGCACGAGCAGACCCCTGCCAGGTTTTAAGTTGGGGGATGCTCTCAGACATATGGTCTGATTTTTGGGTGGTCCTGTGCAGAGACAGAAGTTGGACTCAGAAGGGACCCACAAGGATCATCAGCTCGCGATTTTCTATGATTCTATGAAATAAATCCCACTTCTTACCCCTCTATAAACCAAAGTTTTAACAAGACTTCTTGTCCTTTTACGTCCCCCCAAAAAGTTAATGCCCAAGTCCTTCCTGGGATTATAAGGAGAGCTAAGGTGACTCCCAGAGATTTAGATGTTTTTATTTCCTACCAGATCAACTCATTTCTGCTTTCTATGGACATTCCTCTCCCATCTACTTTTGTCCACCCAGGTCTCATGACCCCAGAAGAGCACAAGAAATTCGAGAGTTTGAATTCCCCCCACAACAAGTTTTGGATCCCTTGCGTGTGGTTCTCCAACCTCGCGGTGAAGGCGAGGAACGAGGGGAGGATCCGTGACAGCGTGCTGCTCCAGGGCATCCTGAACGTGAGTGACAGAGCCAGCAGGCAACTGCCTGAGATCCCTATCCTGTCCTCTGCGAGGAACGAAGGGGATTTTCAGAGGTCAGGCAAGGAATACTGAAGTAGGATGTGCAGACAGTGACCCAGGCCTGTCCCTAGGGATATTGCATTAATTTTGATAGGAAATACCATCATTTCTGCTCTCCAGCTTGTGAAAGGACAAAGCTTTTCATGGCCTGGTGACAGGTTAGCAATAGCACACAAGAGGCAAGAGGAACACGACACCTTTCTCAAAATTGGGACGGGGAGGAGCCACGTGGCTCACATCTAGGTGTAGCAATGGCACAAGGAAGCAGAACACAGATCTGGAAGGGACCATCAGAAGTCAAAAGCACCTTTAACAACCACAGTCCCCATGGAGAACTTCGCTATCAACAACCCTTGGATAGTCCTGGGAAGCAAGCTGTGCTCCACAGGCAGGACATGGCAGTGATCCTGCACAGCTGCAGATTAAGAGGCTCCTGAGCAGCTCATCCTCCCTGGTATTCACATGCAGAGAACTGCATTGCCTCTGCTGCTTGGAGCAAGATTCATCCCTCTGGGCTATATTTACCTGAAGTCACTGTATAATCAGAAGAGAGAGGTGGATACTTCTAAGATATTATTTGCCTAACCTGCTGAGCTGCTTGCTTTTTGAAGAGAAAAACTCTGCTGTGAAGTGAGCTAGGAAGGGACCCTGGTCAGGGGACGGGGACATCCAGGCAGCTTGCCCTTCAGGGCTTCTGGGGACAGGCAGGACACCAGTGGAGCAGGAGTCCCAGCTGAATCCCACCTAGCAGGGGAGGTGTGAGCATGAGGGGCTGGGCTGGAGAAGGCCAGGAAAGGACGCACAAAGTTGGCACCAACAGCACGTTCCCTTTCCCCACTGCAGGAACTCAACACCCTGCGCAGCCAGTGCGGGCGGCTCTATGGCTACGACTGGATCAGCATCCCCCTGGTCTACACTCAGGTGAGAAGAGATCCCCCCACAGCTGTGCATGCCACAAGGGAACCCCCACTGGCACCCACCCCTACCCATCCTACACAAGGACCATGCTGGTGCTCCGTTTGCTTGCACCCCTCGCCCACACCTACACACGTAGCCTGTGCTGGCTCTCCTGCATGCAAAACCCAGCAGCACACGCTCAGCCCAGCCCTACTTCTGTAATTCAGGCACAGCCACCTCAACAGAAACACACATACACCCAGGGTAATTATTTATCCTGATGTGCTCCACGTGGCTGCACAGCAAACCCAAAAACATGCAGATCCAACACTGCAGAGCTGAGAGCTGCCTGCCAGCAAGCCTGCTCCAGCACACAGGGCAGCTGTGATGCACTCATGCCATGTGCATGAAAGAGAGCTTTGTGCATGTGCTCAGCTGCTTGAGTTCCCTCAACACAACTCTAGACAGAAGCTTTAGCACCAACTTGCTCCTTTACCTCATACATAACAGGTAACACTCAGGTAACACTAATGCACCCCACCATGAAAAGGGAGCTGCTTCCATTCACACAGTGCTGAAGGTTAACGAGGAACACATCAGGAAACCACATTCCTGCACAGACCCAATGCCCTGCAAACTAGGAGCAAAAGTAACACCATAACATGTTGCATCAGCTTCCCAAATTTACTTTTGAGGCAGAATACTTTGCTGTTATGGCCCCAGCACAGTGCTGCAGCCCCCCACCAAGAAGCCCATAGGAAGAAGAGCTCAGCTCCACCAAAGCCTTACCCCAAGTGCAGCAAGGAGAGCCTCAGCTACTGAGATGGTCAGGAAGAAGTGACAGAGCCACATCAGGCTGTAGAAAAGGCTAGGCCCAAACTGGCAGCTCCTCCAGCAGCAGCATTCAGGTCTTGAAGCCTGTAAAATCCATCATTACAGGTAACCTACCCACCACAGAACAGCCCCATGCTGCTCACTGCAGGGCCAGCTTAAAACTTGTGGTGCTGGGTGTTTGTTTTGACCCCACCCTGATTGCTGGATGGCATTGAGCCTCAGCTGCTAGTAATTTGCAAAGGGGAACTTTCCAGTCCCATGATTACTCATTATAGCCTGAAAATCTGGGCAAGCAAACAGGCAAATGTAAAAATATCCAACATGGCTTTCAAAAGGCTACTGAGCTAGCACATCTGCAGCCGCTCACCGCTGTTTGGGGTGGAAGTAGGAGAGGGCTGCTGAGAAAGCAAGCTGGGAATTCAAACTCCTCTGCTGTGTCCCTTGGCACCTTTCCCAGGTGGTGACCGTGGCTGTTTACAGCTTCTTCCTGGCCTGTCTGATCGGGCGGCAGTTCCTGGATCCGGAAAAAGCATATCCTGGCCACGAGCTAGACCTCTTCGTGCCAGTCTTTACGTTTCTGCAGTTCTTCTTCTACGCTGGCTGGTTAAAGGTAAGTCCAAGAAAACATGCCTGGAGCTGAAACCTGATCCACGCATGGGTTTTTCGCTGTTTTGTGACACCATGGGCTGAGCTGTGGGCAACATGCCAGGTGCTGGGACCCAACAGGGACTGAGGGCACTGCCAAGACCTTCAGTTTCTGAGCACCTCATCCTGAAGAACGCCACCTTTGCTAAGTTTGGGGGAAAAGAGAGGCAGGGGGCTGCACTTTACCTGCAGAGTGTTGCATGTGGTCTGCAGCGAGCACAGGGCAGTTCCTGTGTGTACCAGTGCCTCCTAATAACTGGAAAGGTTCTGGTTTTAATCCACCCCTTTTTGGAAGAAACAGCATTGCTCCAAATCCAGGGCACATCACCCCTGAGGGTAGTTCTGGATTCAGCCCCATGGGCCTTCCTCCTGCAGGGAAAAGGGTGGGCACGACCTTGACCCTTGCTGTGTGCTCTCCACATGCAGGTGGCCGAACAGCTCATCAACCCTTTTGGGGAGGATGATGATGACTTTGAGACCAACTGGCTCATCGACAGGAACCTGCAGGTACGGTGAAGTCAGGAGCCTCATGGCCCCATCAGCACAGTCATGATCTGCAGCACTTCTGCCTGCAGGTTTCGGTGGCTGCATATTAGGAAGGGGCTCAGAATCTCCAAAGAGAGATGGCTAGAAAAGCAGGAGAGCGTAAGGTACACACCAAGCAACACAGGGCTTTGGGCACATATTTGTACCCAGAGACCAGCAGCAGTTCCACCTGGCCTCCATAGCCCATATTTTGGCACACACGACAGATCCAGACTTGTTTCAGACCCTCACTGCCTTTCAATGACAAACCATTCCTGCCTCTTCCTAGCTTTTCCCACCCTATGTCTGTACCTAAAACTGCCTCCTCTAGTTTCTTCCAAGCAGTAACTCTCCACCTGCAGTTCTACACTAAGCTTCATTGTTCTATTGAGCGTGTTGCTTTCACGTTTCCTTCAGCATCACTTTCCTTTTAATTACCCAAAACTCTCCATGTGAAAAATAACAAAAAACACAGCAAAACTAGCCACTCATCTCACCCCTGGGCTACATTGCTTTGCCCTGCATTATTAGTCCTCTGACAATAGGCACCTGCAGCACCACTCCCTGACACTGCTGCTGTCCCCACAGGTGTCCCTGATGGCAGTGGACGAGATGCATCAGGATTTGCCCATCCTGGAGAAGGACCTATACTGGAACGAGCCTGACCCCCAGCCGCCTTACACCGCAGCCACCGCAGAGTACAAGCGCCCATCGTTCCTTGGCTCTACTTTTGATATCAGGTGGGTGCAGCTACAGGGCACCAGAGCAGGCCACGTTTACACCTCAGGTCAGGTGTTGTGCAGGATGTGCTTAAGGAGTAAGAGAGCAATAACAACTTTCACGGTCTGTGAAATCCTGCTCCAATGTATTTCAGGCTGATCCAAAGATGCAGCCAATATCTTTCTTGGCAAAGGATGCCTCTGAGCTCTTGCTGCCCTCCTGTGCTATGAGCACCCGTATTTTGGGGGACTAACACATAATTAATGATAATTAATAAACACATAATTAACACGGGAGGAGAGGCTTGCCACAGGCAGCAACATTCCCGTGCTGCCAGCCTCCCCACCAAAACCACCATGTTACAGCCCGTCCTGCCTTTCCCCAGCATGCAGAAAGAAGAGATGGAGTTCCAGCCCCTGGAGCAAATCAAAGAGAACGAGGAGGCGAACCACTCCACGCCACTGCTGGGCCACCTGGGCCGTCTCCTCGGCGTGCAGTCACCCAGCTTCTCCAGGTCCTCCTCCCGGATGAACCTGCTGCGCCGGCGAGGGGAGCCCACCTCCCCCTTCTCCCATTACGCCTACCAAGACACGGGCAAGGCCGTCCCCTCCCCGAGGGGGGACACCAACCCACAGGAGCAGTGGGATGGGGACGATGGGAAACTGAGGGAGTTCGATGCCTTCATGTCCACCCCGTTTTACGAGAGACCCGGCTTCTACAGCGCACCGCAGACGCCGATCAGCTCCATCCCCATGATCTTCCCTTCCCGGCGCCAGGGCCGCAAGAAGCCCCCCGCACTCTCCAGCATCGCTGCCTGCTCCAATTCCCTCAGGGACGTCATCGCCAACTCCTCGCCTTCCCGGACGAGCGATATGTACAAAAGCCAGAGCTCCCTCGGCTCGGGTACCAAGGAAACCTTTATTTGGCCGACGGAAAGGAACAAAGGTCCTGACCCGCTGGTTGTAATGGTGGAAGAAAAAAACAACTCTAACTGTAGAGGCAGAGAAGCTGCCACCACGGGGAGTCCAGAAGCTCTGTCCGCAGCATCGGACAGCCCTAAATTCCCCCTCCTGGCAGAGTCCCCCAACCAGGACAAGCAGGGCAACTTCAAAAGCCTGAAGAGCTCGAAAGGCTCCCAGCCACCCTGGCTGACTCTGGAGAACACGACAGCCGCCCCCTGGTCCTGAGCAGCTGAGCACCCTGCACCCCCCTGGCACCAAAACGCCCACCAGCAGCCCCCCTCCCTGCTTCTCCTTCACTCCTGTAACGTCTCCAGTGCTGGAGAGGTCCCCCATGGGGAACGTGGTCCCCGACAGCCTGAGTTCAGAAGACACAAGCAGTGTGACAGACCCGTATCCGTCAGAGATTTCCGGGACAAGAGATTCAGGAAGCAGAAGCACTAATAATCCCCCAACAAGAGAGACAAGACGAGTGGAGAGCCCGTCCCCAAATGATTCTGGCATCTCCCTAGGTGACAGTGACTACGTGGGGCTGATGGAGGTGATCATGGAGACTAGTGAAAGCACATGCGATGATCTGATGGATCAGTACAGCTAGAGGAGCCCAAAAAACACAGGTCTGTTAAAATACCTGCCATCCGAGTGATACTGCAGTATCTTCACACCTGGCCCAACAGAAGAGCAGTGCAGCCTAACCCCAAGCTGCTGGAGCATCCACTGAGAGCACAGCCCAGGTGACTCCCCACTACAGCCCTCAGGTACCACAGCAGGCACACGGTCTCAGTGTTGCAACAAGAAAAAAAGTGAGGAAAAAACCCTACACTTCTACAAAACAAGAGACTTTTGGTGTTAGGCATTACAGATGCCTAAACAGCAGAACTGTAGCTGACAGCACCCTGACAACCCTGGAATTCAGGCATAGCCCAAAGCAGAAGAGGAATATAGCCAGTAACACATCCTCTCAGCAAGAATTAGAACCTGAAGTTTACATTATTTGCCACAAAGCCCACTACAGGTCTCATGCAGGACTTGCACTGCTGACAGCTACTCCAGGGAAAGGGACTGAGTCACAGCACTCGTGATACAGACCCACGGTGCCTCAAAGCCTTACCTAGCCGGTGCTCCCCAGTACTGGGAAAGCAGTGGGAATCCTCCCTGAAAGCAGTAATAAAAAAGCCTGAAGTCCAGGACCACTTTTTTTTCTCATTTCAATTTCTGTGCAATAATAGAAATTTAAAAGCAAAGCACTGAGGTGTTCCTCTTTTCACAGCTTCAGGAACAGCTGCAGATCTCCCCACACCACAGGGAACAGAACAAATTCAGTCCACCTCACATACTCCCCCCTCTGCCTTTCAGAGGGTTGTTTGGCCTCAGCAGCTGTCACCACCACCCCCAACCATCTCCCAACATTGTCCTTTGAGGTAGTTCCTGCTTCACTGTTTCGGTGTAGTTTAGAGCACACAGACAGCTCTCTCCTCCCAGAGAGATTTCTTCATGGAAGAGTGCAGTCTGCTGTCAGGCATGCATGATGCTCCATGAGGCATTAATCCCACCCTTCAGCAACTCAGGAAGCCCAGAGACACTAAAACCTCCATTTCCTTGCATTACAGTACAAGTTGTAGTGGCAAAAGCATTTTAGAACAGCTTTAGTTCCTGAGCAATTCCTGCAGTGGATACTAATGGGTGGGAAAGAAAACGATTTATAGAAGCGTTAAGGAAGAGTAAGTGCAACCTGATCCCCCTTATGCGTTTCTTCATGCCCAGCTTAGGATAATAACTCTCCCAGCAGAGACTAGGGAGCACAACCCTTTCCTTCCAAGAAGGACACAAAGAACCACTTTGAACCAAGTCACTTTATTGGATGGAAGGCGATACACAAAACACAAGAGAAAAGAAGGCTGATATTTGGTACAGAGTAAGAGAACTGTTTATCTAGATAGCTGAAGATGCATGCACTGCTGGACAGTAAAGTAGGAATCTTCCTGAAACCCACAGGGTGGTGTTCGTGGCAAGACTTCAGCTCTCGTCACTGTGCCCGAGGGTGTGCTTGTCAAAGAGGTACTCTGCCATGCCATACTTGGGTGCCCCCATCTTCCGCAGGTTGGTGACATGGTCGCCCAGCTCCTTGATGGCCTTCACCTGCTCATCCAGGTAGTGAGTTTCGATGAAGTCACACAGCTAAAACGGAGATTAAAAAAAGGCTTAGCTCTGCACATTGCTCATCCTGCTGAAACAGGATCTGAAATCATTCTAACTCTGCCCAGTGAAAGATGATATACAGGCACAACTTTAAAGCTGCAGAAGCTATCTGAGAAGCATCCTTTGATCTTGTTCTTGCATTGCTGAGGCAAAACTAGAGTGAAGCACGCCTATCCAGGCACGCTTGCTCCAGGAACCTGCATTACAGTATCGTGCTCAGGAAACATCCCCTTCTAGACCACAAGAAAGTTCCTGAACACATTTAGACACTTGCATTACCCTTCATGGTAATTATTAACACCTGTCTTGTCCAGCATGTTACTCCTTTCAGAGAAGCTTTAGCTTGCAGAAATATTTAGAAGTTCTCTGCAAACACAGGTTTATTTACAGCAGGGAACTGCTTAATACACTTCTCTAAGTGTTGCCCACATGCCTTCTGTTCTGCAGAACAGCATCAGAAGGGGTTGAACACAGCCATACACCCACTGCTCTGTAAGCACAGCTGTAACCACCCTACACAACATAGCTGGTCCTCCACAGAGAAATAAGCAAAATAACCATACCAAATGGCTACAGTAGGTGCTGACACCTGTGCCCTTCCCTCTGGAGGGGCTGCACAGCTTGTCCATCCCTTTTTCACCAGCAGATACCCCCAATTCACCACCCAGCACTCCCTGCACAGCTACTGGCTCAGCTTCAGTGCCCACTTACGTGTGGGTCGTTCTTTTCAGTTGCCAATTTGTGCAGCTCCAACAGCGACTGGTTCACGTTCTTCTCCAGGTGCAGGGCACACTCCATTGCAGTCAGCCCATTCTCCCAGTCATCACGATCTGGTTTCTAAGGGGGGAAAGCACATGGCCATATTTTAAGTATCGGGAGACCAACAGGGAGCAAAGCATTTCAGATCTGTCTCAGACTCTGCTTAGAAAAGCAAGCATGCAGCTCTCCAGCAAAGGTCTTAAAGTTCTTTGAGTACTACCAAGTTTAGGCATTTTGATGTCTTGAAAAGCTTGACAGTGCACAGTAAATAGAACTGAATCCATGTTGGAAGTCACAGAACAGGGCCACCTGTTCCCAAGGTCCTCCTGATATTATGCTCAGAGAAATCTTGCAGGGTAAAGCTTCGCAGAGCTGCTTTCTTCCTCCTCCCACCCTTGTAATCTAACAGCCTAAGCACTTGCCTGTGTAAGCAGGTGCCCTGGTTTCAGCTGAGATAAGGTTTATTTACTCAGAGTGGCTGGTATGGTGCCACATTTTGGATGTAGGAGAAAAACAGTGTTGATAAAATACTGGTGTTTAACTGCTGCAGAGCAGTGCTTACATCAGTTCATGGACTTTCTAGCTTCTCACACCGCCCTGCCAGCAAGGAGGCTGGGGGTGCACAAGAAGCTGGGAAAGGACAGAACTAGCTGATCCCAACTGGCCAGGGGGATATCCCATACCATGCGGCATCATACTGAACAATACAACAGGGGGAGTCAGCCAGGGAGAGACAACACAACTCCTCGGGGACAAGCTGGGCATTAGTCTGTGAGTAGTAAGCAACTGCACTGTGCATCACTTGCTTTGTATGTTTTGCTATTGTTTCACCTTCCTTTTCTGTCTATTCAAGTGTAGAAGCAGCTGCTGCTGCTCTTCTATGAGACATCCCTGGGGAATTCCTTCCCTTCCAGCCTGAGGACAGGCCCCAGAGTCTAGCTCTGAATTAGACAGGACAACCCAAAGCACTAGTCCTCACCTTGATGTCCTGCAAGAAGATGCGGCCGCCTCGCTGATTTTGCAGTTTCATCAGCTTCTCAGCATGCTCCCGTTCCTCGTGGGACTGGTGCAGGAAGTACTTGGCAAAGTTTTTCAGAGCCACATCATCCCGGTCAAAGTAGTAGGACTGAAAAGAATGCACATGCTCAGAAGCCTGATCCTCACTCCAGCAGGCACACGAAGCAAAGCACATACTGTGACTTCAGACATCTCTGCTACCAACCCTCCTTCAAGGCAGCTGGAATTCAAGCTAAGGCTAGCCAGCAAGGCAATATGGCAGAGCTCTTCCCTTCATAACAAGTTCAGTTTTCCCAGCCTGGATTACATTTTAACCCGCATCCCAATCATTAACACAAATAAATGGTATTTGCAGTTCACTTCTAAACATACAAAAACCCCTGCCCCACTGTGTTTGCTCTCCTGCTGCCTTAAACACAGACTCGAAATGCTTCGCTGTAAACAAGGATGAAGTTTTCCCTGTTCTTTGTTTACAATGGTCACAGGTCAAGGTTCTGACTTGTAACACTAGTTCAGGGGGCAAAGAACTTTAAGATAATTCTACAGTAAAGCTTTCAGGCATGTTTCATCATGTTTACTTGGGAACAGATTAATAAATACATTTTCTGTTTCTGAAAAGTCTTTTGTATCACTTAAAGACAGAAGTTCAACTGAAGTGCATGTTCAACAAAAAAATGCAAAGTCATCTCTTGAAAAACTGAATGCATAACAGCTGTTAGAAGTCACAGCTTATTTGGACTCTGGTCCTAAGCAGAATTCAATAGAAAGCTTTGTATTAACTACCAGTTATTTCCAAGATGAGGTGGCACGGAATTCTCTGCTCTTTAACCAGCAGTTTGGAGGTTCAAGGCAAGACAATGGTGCTTGTGTGTCGCTACTATCGCCAACAGTTACATTTGGCTTGCAGCTGAGGTTCAACCCTCCGTAGTAACCCAGAAAGAAGCTTTAACTGTACACTTAGATGCCCCAACATACTATGGTGTCACTACAAAGTCTCAAGTTGCCTGCAGATCTAAGTCACCCGGATTGCTGCAGAGGTCAGAGCCGTGCCCACAGCGACTTACTGAACTCAGCTATGGCTAAAATTGGTGTCTCTTGCCAAGCGCAAGAGGCACAGGGCCAAGAAACCCCTGGATTCCTAATTCACTTGAGAACTACGAAGAACCGTGCCTGCGAGAGGAGAACGCCCGTGGGAGAGGTGCCAATCACCTCGTTAGGCAATCCCAGCCAGCCAGCCCTGCCCCAAGGGCAGAGGCGCTCGGAGGCTGCTGCTGAGCCGCGCTGATAACGAGCCCGCCCGGGGCAGCGAACAAAGAGCAGTTAGCATGCAACCGGCACCCACCCGAGATAAGCACCTCACCTAGGGAAAAGAAGTATAAATAAGGGGCCATCCCCGTCCCCGGGCGGAGCGAGCTGGCTGCGCGGGGCTCGGGCACCCTCCCTGCCCCCTTCCTTCAGGGAAAAGCCTCCCCCGAGGGAGGAGGGATCGCTCCCTGCAGCTCGGCCTCGCACAGCCCTCGGGGAGGAAGAGGAGGAGGAGGAATAGGAGGAGGCCAGGCCGGGAAGGCCCGCCCCCCCCCCCCCGAGGCTGGGCTGCTCAGGGAGGCCAAACCACAACTGGCCCCACACCACCAGGGCCTGCACCCCCCCCCCCACTCACCATGCTGAGGTACACGTAGGACGCGTAGAGCTCCAGGTTGATCTGGCGGTTGACGGCCGCCTCGCAGTCCTGGTGGTAGTTCTGGCGCACCTGGGAGAGAGGCGTAGCCATGGCGCTGGGATGAGATTGAGATGGAGGCGGCGGTGTCGGCGTGCGGCTGGTGGTGGTGGTGAGGCGGCGGGCCCGAGCGCGGCCGGTTCCGTCCAAGCACTGTTGACGCAGGAACCCGCTCCGCTCTGCCTCGCCGACGCACTCTGGGCCGGCGCTGCTCGACGCCGCGCCTTTTATAGCGTCCCTGACGTCACCGCGCGCATGCGCGCCGGCGTGGCGGGAAACGGGGGGGGCGAGGGGGCGGGGCCCGCCGCGCTTCTGCTGGCCCAGCGTGACTCAGCACCTCCCCGCGGCGCGTGACCCGTGGCCACGCCCCCTGACATGGCCACGCCCCCTCCTCCTCCCCTCACAGCCCCCCCCCCCCCCCCCGCCCCAGTGCTGGGCTCAGTGGGGTCGGTTTGGGCCTGAATCGCAGAATTCCTGAAGGAAAAGAGCCCAAAAATCATCATGTCCAACAGTCCCCTACCACCACTGTCACCCACCAAACCGTGTCCCTAAGCACCACGTCCAGCCTCTCCTTGAACACCCCCGGGAGGGTGACCCCACCGCCTCCCTGGGCAACCCGTCCCTACACCTAACCCTGCTCTTTGAGAAGAAATGTCCCCTAATTCCCACACTGGAACAACTTCAGGCCATTCCCTACAGTCCTATTGCCAGCTATCTGCGAGAAGAGGCCAGCCCCAGCTCCCCACACCTTCCCTTCAGGGCATTGTAGAGAGTGGAAGGAGGCCCTGGGGGTAGAGGATGCCCCGGGGGTAAAGGATGCCCTGAGGATGAAGCAGGTCCTGGGGCTGCAGAATGATCCCCAGGGGATGAAGGATGCCCAGGGGTTGAAGCAGGCCCTGCCATGGATGAAGCAGGCCCTGCCATTCTGCCCCCACAGGAGCACAGCCATTTGTGCCTACGCCCCATAGCCCTGACCAAAAAACACACTTGTTTGTCCCCAGAAAACAGCGTGCAGCTTTGTAACTTCGTCAGGAAGGGCTTGAGCTGCTTAGGACAGCGTCAGGAGGAAGAAATCTGTGCCATAGTGGATACTTTCTTCCCCCTTTCGTGTACTCTGCTGGAGCGGAACATCGAGTTCTAGCTCTGGCTTTCCGCACCAGCAAACATCGGTGACTCAGTGGCGAGGCCCAGCAAGTTTTCAGACTTCCCCCTTTCAGGGACCAGGCCCGGCTTCGGATAGATACTGCCACAAAAATGCAGCGAAGAAATGCAAGTAGCCATTAAGTGAGGGCCAAAATCCTGGGTTAATCTGGGGAGCCAACCAAAGGAGAAAGAACACAGCTGAGGGGCACCAGCTTTCCTCAGAGCTGCTCCAAGATAGGGACAGGCACATGCAGCAATCGCTGCTGGTGTGTGTGTGACCTTGGGAAAGAAACTCCCCGTGTCTTAGCGCGATTGCCCACTGATGACTAAAGGCAGCACAAACAAGAAAGACGGCGAGAAACCAAACATTTCCTGCCCTCTGATGTTTGATATACTCAATGGTGAGGTTTAGGACAGGGGCCTCTAAGTGTTTCAAACATAATGCCAAATAATAAAGAGGTAATTGAGAAATCAAAGGTCAAACAGAACAAACTGAGCCTTCTGATATCAGGAGGGCTATTTCAGCTGCTTTTGTTACTGTATTCATTCAGTTTGTGTGGTCGTTTATTTTCAATAAACATTGGCTTCTTTTACTTTCTGGATTCTGATTTTTCAAGCAGATTGTGAGCACAACTTTGAAGGTTTAGAAACGTCCTATGAGATCATCCCTTAACATCAGGCTCCCAAAATCTTGGCTTTTGCTCAGGAAAACAGAAAATGTTGAAATTAGTCAGAAATATTGCAAGTACTGGCACACGGATTACTGAGCCTGCAAACTCTGCTTAAGTTAATTTTTCCTCTAACTTGTCCTTTTGACAAAGTTTCATTTGGTCTTTGAACTTCCTTGTTCTGAAGGCAATGTCTGATTTCCCACGTGTGACAGCTTTCAGCTCGGTCTGCATCAGCACAACAGCACTTTTAGCAGCGTTCTGAGTGTTTTAAAGGAACAGACAGACAACGTCTTCCTTTGGCTTAAAGTTTTCTCTTGCTTCTGACAGTTAACCATCAGAAGTAATTAAGATCTGTAAATTAATGTGGATCATACTTAGCACTTCTGCAGGCTGCCAGGTACATTTGAAACCCTCATGTTCCCCTCCCACGCAAATGCTTATGTAAAAAAACAAAAAAAAAAAAAAAAAACAGTGGTAACTTAGTAACTGCTGGGCAGATTTGCATTACTATTTTCATACTGTAGTATTTTGAACAGTTTGAGGTAACCTCAAACAAACAAACCTCACATTTAGCTGAAGAGGTTTGTCAAACATTAGTGGTTGTCCTCCTGAAGCATATATGCTCTTATATAGCTTTACACTTGGGCAGGCCTCTATATTTGCACATAATTGCAGAGTATGGTTCAATATTCCAGAAAGATTAACCTTGAACCTACTACTAAATTTTTTATTTTTTTTTATGCATCATGTTCTCTGCTCTTTGTGCTCTCCTTCCACCTTTATGCCTGTGACTGACAAAGGCATGCTTGGAACTATGAGAAGAAAGTTACCCACTAGTTTATAGATTGCAAACAATTGTTTATTTTTTTTCCAATCTCATCATGACCAAAGCTGCATAAATCCTCATTACATTGTTCCATGAAAAGCTGTACAACATCACAGTTTGTAAACAACTGAGCAAATGGTCTATTAATAATGGGAATATTTCCTCTGAAGTTTGGACACTCCGTGCCACCGATGATTAAATGTCAATAAGATTAGGAAATGCTACATTCTGCTTTCTAGATTGATAGCAAGTTGCATAAACATACACATTAACAGTGATGACAGCAGATTTATTTGTCCAGAATAGTAAATATTGGGTTGTACACTCATTCATCATAGCGTCTTGGTTACAAATACAAAGATTGTCTAACATTCTGGTCTTAGAAGAGTTTAGGTTTAGCTATAACTACAAGTTTTATGTTAACAGTGCAACTGACTCTCTCAAAGTACTGTCACAGTGGTTTAAGTTTGACTATTTCCTACTGTTTTTCTGTGGCTTGGGTCAAGCCCTCTTTTATCTTGTGCCTTTCTTCATCAAGAATGAGCATTCTTGGGAAGCAGCCTGCAAGAAGCATTATCATACTCGGGCTGGACTTCACATCAAATGCCATTCACGTTTGCTAACTGCAAGCTCACATTTTGGATCTGGCAATGCTTTGCAGACTACTTTCTATCACATAGCTTCCAGTAGCTAGTAGTTAATTGCATGCCCGACCGTTATTCATGCAACTGTCCAAAGCAGTAGGGAGATCTTGGCATTTTTTATTCAAATCCAATAGATTAAAGGTCTCAGTGCAGTCAGGAAGAGCCTGGCACAGTCCAAACTGTTTCCTCCAGTACACTTTTGCACACAAACATCACAGTGGCCTGCGGACTGATCCATCATCTTAGCTGAGTGCATGCGCAGCCTTGCTTTGCATCTGTGTCAGCTCCTGGCTGCTTTGCTGATCTAAACCAGAGGCATTCTTCATGCTGCCCACAGGCAAGAGGCGATGTATTGTCTGCCTACACAAGCTTCAAATTGTTGAAGACAATCTCTGTTTTCCCTTGGACTAGATCCCATCTGAAACAATGGAGCAAGATCTCTCATTTGTTTACAGCTGAGATGTAAACATGCTATGTAGAGCACAAATCTGAAGCTCAGCCAAATTAAGGACAGTAACGCTTAGGTTCCTTATATGACAACTTAAGACATCGATTCAAGTCTGCAAAAATTTGAGCCTTTTTGCCCATAAAAATTAAATGCCTAAATAAAATGAGCTTCTTTCCATACATATACACAAGGTGGTTAAGTCAGAGAACTGGTTGACACAGCTCAAGGTGTAGCAGGAAAAAAAAAAGCACCAAGGTTGTCTTTTCACACACCTCAAAGTATCTCAGTGTCGTGTGACACCCATTGCGTGTGACGCACATACAGTCTCAGGAAAAGAGGAGTCCGACCCCAGGCCAAGGGTAAATCGCTGTTAGATTGGAAGCCCTGAGCAGGTTTTGAAGAGGGCATGACACACAGTTACAGCGAATTTGCACAGACAGGGCAACGTAGGATTTGAAGTTGGCAAGGACTTTGCATAGGGTAAGGCTTGGATACAGCGTTTAAAATGGGAGGGTTCCCATGTCTCTTCCACACACTTTACAATCATTCATACTGACTCAACCTGTGCCATTTTTCTGTATGATCTTCCAAATTATGGCAGTGATCTTACTGTGGGCTGAAAAACGACTAGACAGTACTTGCAAAAGTAAATTCTAAGCTTGTAAAACTGGAAGGCAGATTTTTTTGCTGATAGACTGCCTCAGCAAAAACTTAGCGTATGACTTAGGCATCCAGCTAGACCTCCAACAAGAGGGCTGCCTTCACGTGAGCAGAGTTCACTGCAGTTGGGCAAGCCAGATTGTTCAGGAATGCATGTGTCATTTATCATCTGTACAAACGGTTCCCATCTCGCTTTGAAATGTTTTCTCGCCATGCTAGTTTAATAGCTAGAATAATAACAGATCTGAGTTAAAATGCAACGCCATTTCTAAATCCAGTGAGCAAGAGGGAGCTGACTATACCTCAAATATTACTCTAAGAAAATACAGTAACCTTTTTTCAAAGCTCAAAGTCCTGCAAATAAGATAAACCATGTGTCCAGTCAAATATTTGTTATAGAGAACTTTATTCCAACCCCAAACTTCAGTGTAATTCAGCACACAGACTTTAGGTAAACACAAAAGCAACCCCAAACTTGACTCCAAGCTGGATCACATGTCTGGAAATTTGACACTGATCTCAACTGTTTTGAAAGCCGTTTACCGAAAACATCTGGGCTCCACTTGTGCTGTAAGATATCCTATAAATGGAATTCCAGCTGATTGCAAAATCCTCCTGTAGCTCCTTGGGTAAAACACTGCTTAAATTCTTCAGTCGTTTCTTTCGGGTGCCCAGTTTCTGGGGAAACCCAGGTTTTAGGCGCTGGGATTCACTGAGTAATACCAATTCAGTATGCAAACAGCTGGTTACACAGAACTGCTGATTCCTGGAAACAGAGTCCTACGGCAGAAAAACAAAGGGTGTTGGAAGTTACTCTAGTACATTTGCTTAGGAGACAGCAAACTGTTCTGCTATAGAAAAAAAAATGTCACAAAGACAAAATAATCTGTAACAGTCTGTACTATAGGATTTTGTAGGCAAATAACATAACATGCATTTTGGACAGACAAACATTTTCTAAGTACTTACAGCTTTCTTCTCTCTCTGAAACATTTCTGCACATAGACAGTTTAAACTAAATGCCCCAGGAGATTACAGTTCTCTAATTTGTTCAGAATATCCTTTTAATTAATCTTTTCTTCTTTGGCATGTGTTTGTTGAAAAGAAATTAAAAAAAAAAAAAAAGTGCTTAGAGGCATGAGAATGAGGAAGAACAATGTTAATAACACAGTAGTTCTGTCTGTTCAGCACAGCCAGAAGCAGTATTTGGTGAATTTACTGACGTACCTTTCCCACTTAACCTAATTTGAAGTCTGGCTCCGCTACCTGTGAGTCAAACGCTCTAGATTTTATTCCAATGACAGCCTGAGCACCAGGTGGGCATAGACAGATTTGCCTGGTTGCAAAATCCAGGATTAGTTTAATGTCAAGAGTCTTCTACAGTTAACACAGGCCACAACATTTGCTATGCTGCCATTATCCTCTTCTAGCGTGATCAACTTTTCTTCCCTTTCAGATTTACAAATTCTTTAAATACTGTTCTACTTAATAACTTTTAGTATTTAAGTAAAATGTTAGGGGAAAAAAATGGCTTGTAAATAAAACCACCCTGCTAAAGTCAACAAACAGTGGAAAATTTCTCAACAGACCAAAAATCATCAACTTCCTATCAGGAATTCCCCTGCAAAACACTTCAAGTGTATTCAAGTCTTCATGAATGATGGGGCAGCTCTCATTCTGAGTACGATGCACAGGTCATGTCCTTATGATCAAAGATCAGATTTCATTTGGGAATCCATCACAGAGAGAAACTTTAAGCAGATACCTGCCAGCTGAGGCTCTCAGCTGTTTTTGTGAGGATGCCTAACAGCGTATTTTGGGCACACAGCTGGAACTGGCATGCTTGCAGCACAATGTCTGGCCCCACAGGCGACACTGGGATCCCACATGCTCCCATCACACGGTGCATTATAGGGCTTTCATACAGAAATAAGCTGTGGCACTGCACGTGGTCAGCGGGACACGGAGACCAGTGGGGGAAGTGAGACATCAGTGCAGCAGATCTGAGGTGGAGCCATGTAGCTCTCCAAAAACTTCTCTATCCCATGGCTATGCCCCCAAAACCAGGCTATCCACCCACCCATGCATGCTCGTATTGGTAATTACATTTCATCCCTGAGATGCCATTTTGGCAGTCTGCGTAGCATCAAGTTTGAACAGACATGATATAGCATTAAGCCTGAAGTGCTCTTTGCCTTTATACGTAGCCACCCAAAAAGGGGCAGGCAGGCAAATGCGTTCAAGCATGACGAGAAGAAACAAGCTTTTACAGGGAACTGGCCATTAAACACCAGCTTAAAGAACATGCACCGGCCCGATAAAACATCAGCTCTGCCTCAAAAACAAGCACCAGCCCACATCAAGATCTCTCGGGCAGGGCATGCTGATAGGGGAGGACACTTCTGGACGGCTGTTCTTGAGCAGGTCTCTCCAGGACTTCATTTCATGGCTTTTTCTTAGGAATTGAAGAGGTTGGGTCTTACTGGCTTAGAAGAACTGGAGGATTTTTCATTACTCAAGTGAGGCAAAGTCTGGCAAGGACACATGGAAAGTAGAGGTAGAAGTAGAAAAGTGGAAAGTAGATTTTCTGAGGCTGTAATTTACTCCTAAGCCATGCCCAGCCTCTCACCATCAGGGTAAAAATATTTAAAAGCAGTTCAAAAGGATGAAGGAGGACCTGTTCATGCATGTGCTATCTGTGGAGCAGTCAGCCAGTACTGAAGTGCATTTGTCCCTGCAGAGTTGCCTCTGAATGAGCTGGACACAACACCAGCAGCAACTGGGGGGGAAACCATCTGCTGCTGCTTTCCCTGTGCCATACCCACTTTTGCCCCATTTGCTGAACAAACTGGGCAAAAGGAGAGCCAAGGGCTTCACCCTTTTCAGACAGTTCAGCACAGCATTTGTGGGGGAAAAACTAAATAAATAAAAAATCAGTGAAACTGGACAGAGGGAGAAATAAAATGGGAAGAAAAAAAAAAAAAAAAAAAAAAAAAAAAAAAAAACCAAAACATCAGCAGCCTCTATTGCAGTGAAACCCAATGTGGTATCGATATGTAGGATTGGATATGAGGACCATGCACAAGTCTTCTTCTTAAATTCAGCAAATGGTATCTGTGGGCATGGTCCAGTATTTCAGTAACCGATAAAATGCTTTCAGAACAGGCCACCCTGCCCTTGCAATCATCTACATGGACAGGCAGCTACAGGAGCATGTGTTGCTATAGAAAAGAGTATATAAATGCCTCAGCAATCACATCTGTCTATTCCAAGCCATTGAAAAAAGAAAAAAAAAAAAAAAAAAAAACAGACTAGGAAGAATCAATAAACCCGGGCAGACCACTAGATTCTCAAACCTTGGCTTACGTTGTCCTGTTGTTTTGGGCAGCAGGCTGGAAAGAGACCCCAGCCAAAATCTTTGCTATCAGTCTCACGAGGTAGCAAAAAATGTCAGTCTGCAAGGCTCTCAGACTTCTCCAGCTTCATTTCAGGTTTAAGGAGGTTGGTGGGATGCTCCCCCTGACCTAACGAACCTGTCCCTCAGTCACTCTGTTATGAGTAGGTCTGCTCGGTCATGCATAGCCACACTGCCCCATTGTCTAAATTAGCTGTCATGACCAAGACTGAAACCAGTCAAATCAGGAACTTCCCAGTCAGACAAGAAAACAGACTCCATTCCTCACTTATTTAGCACAGGCTGGACTCCTTGCCTTTTGTTTGATGGACTTGTTTGCTTCTGAAAGGCATCCTGAAGGGTCATAACCCGCAGGACAGCAATAGGCTGAGAGTACTCACACAAGGTAAGGCTGTCAGTAAGGAGAGACTGCATTTCTCACACGTACATCATTCACCTGCCCCAGCACCTTGTTTGCCTCTTTTCTCTGTCCCCTGCCACTCCGCTTACCCTACACCAGCTTCAACCTTCATCAGGGCCCCTCTCAGCCAGTTCAGCTCATGAATCGAGTAGAAAACAGAATAGGGAAAATGAACTCTTTTTGGCCAGTTTCCAGGGTTGGATTGCCTGATGGATGGAGCTAGCAAGCTTCCCCATTCATGCCACAAAACAGCCCTTCCCAATGCCATTTCCCTTGTATAATGACAGAATACACATCTTTCTGTGGGTCTGAGTGGATTTCCTGGGCAGCTCCTCCTTGCCTATTGAACACCTAAGATTTAGCCGAGATTCCAGGAGATTAAGCTGTGAAGATGTTAAATCAGGCACAAAACAGAAGTGACTGCAAGGAGTTCTCTTACAAAGCATTTCTCCAGTCAGGAGGTGCAGATTGAGCAACAGGCTGACATCAGCTAAAAAAACAGGGTGGTGGCGGGAGCGGCTCAGATGCTAAACCATGCGGATGTTACTTAGGTCATCGTGCAGTTCTCCAATCGAGAAGGAAAATAAGCCAGAATTGCAGCATTGTTACTTAATCCAGGAAACTCTGGCAGTAAACTCAGCTGTAGGAACTACCTCAGCATGACCACACAAAAAAGCCACCAGTCTTTTACTGGAATTCGTAAGTGCCTGCATCCCTGGCCAGGGTAAAGCCTAATTAGCAGTGAATACTGACAGGCAATTCCTACTGCTTTCCCTGCCCCTAATACCGTTGCTATAGCAGAGGCTCCCTTGGGAAGACTGCTGTCGTGAGTCCAGGTCCTTGCCCAGCACACCAGCCCTTTGCTCACTCATTATCCCGAGCGCCTCGTTTTCAAAAGGAAGGGTCAAACAGATTTGCCATCAAACCTTGTTCTAATTTAGCTCCCACTCCAGTCTCATATGCCTCACTGATCAGTCAATTCAGACCCACAGACAAGGAACAGGCTGTCTCGTTGCCCTGTTAAAAACAATTTTGTATTTAAGAAACCTAATGAGCCAGAACCATCTGTATATACTTTGCTAGCAATTGTGACTGGTCTAAAAAGTAGACGAGTAACATTTGCCGATCCTACTGTTGAGCCATGAAGCAGCATTAGGGCAGAGCGTGAGTCCCTGCAAAATATCCCCACCATTTCTCAGCCTTCTTTATTTGCCCAGAACCTCACTTGTTAAAAAGAAATAAATAGGTGTTTACAGTGCAGGTCCTCTCTAGTTTCTTCATCTTTTCATATTAATAGAGGAGAAAGGAATGTTTCCTAAACTACTTAAACCTAAACTGGCCTCCAGTCACATCACAGTAACACACCACACAGAGACCTACAAAAACTAGCCTGAAAAGCCAGGACCAAAGCTGGAAATTCGGAGGACTGAAAAGGAAGAAGAAAGGGGACTGAGGATTGATCTGTTTCTACAGCCACATCCAGCTTAAGAAACACCACTGCACGGAAACGCTGAGGAACTGGAAGAAAAAGTAACACAACTGTTATTTTAGATCAACTGGAAAACTTCCCTTTTTGCACCAAGTCCGTGAGAAGTGTCTTCTTCTGGAAAGAACTGGTAGGAATAGTTCTACTGCTCCCCCCATATCACCTCCAACACAGGACTTCTCATAGCAGACAGACCTCTTTTTATCGCAGTTTGTTTTCCTTTTAGGTGGGAATATCAGGATTGAGCAACAGCACCTACGAAAGCAACCATACCCTAAGGGCTCGGAATTGGGAAGCAGAAAGAGGCTCTTCTTCACCAGCATGTGACCTTTATTCATTTTCCTACTTGAGAAAGAATTAACATTTCGTTTTTAGGCAAAATGTTTTGCCTGACGTCTGTAGTAACCAAAGTAAGAAAGTCACTATTCATTTACTAAGAGCAAGTTTTAAAGAGCATCTCCTTTTACATTTGAAAACTAGTGGGGTTTCCTTGCTTTATACGGCAGGTCAGAGGATCTACGAAAGCTTACAGCACTTAAGTTTAATTTCAGAGTTCAGTTGTCTTGCGAAGAATCCTTTCTAGTACAGCTGTTCCTAGGATGATTTCAGAAACTTTCTGTCATTCCCATCTTGCTTACACCACCAGGATTACAATGAACAGCTAGCACACTGAGAAATTTGTCACGAATCCCAGTGCCCCTCATCCTCCCATTTCCACCCCATGTCCCCAAAACAGAGAGATTTAAGAGAATTTAGGAGAGGGAGGGAAGGAAGACAACAAAAAGCTGCTGGCTGCCAGCGGTGCCCTCCAGTATCATTACCGTTTGCCTTGCTAACACACCTGCCTAATCCTGTCATCGTAAAGCAAGATTTTTCCTATATGTGCTTTCCACTTCGTTGGACTTCATATACGTTAGCTCTGCTTCCTCGGGCTGTACGGCTGTGTCATAACCTATCTGAGTCTTTCCCATAGCAGAACCAATCTCAGTGACACTTCCAATCCACCTAACTGCCTACGGCTACCTGTAACATCAGGGCATTTCCCCGCTCCCAAACCTATCCAGCCTGTCTGTGACTTATGGCTTCCCCAGCTCAGCAGGGCCTCAAATTGCCAAGTGCTTGCAAGCAGGCGCTTTCCACCTGCCAGCGGGGTCACAGAATCATAAAATCATTAACACTGGAAAGCCCTCTAAGATCATCTAGTCCAACAATCCCCATACCACCCACCGATATCACCGATATCGCCCACTAAACCTTGTCCCTAAGCACCATGTCCAACCCTTCCTTGAACACCCCCAGGGACGGAGACGCCACCAGCTCTCTGGGCAACCCGTCCCAGTGCCTGACTGCTGTTTCTGAGCAGAAATGTCTCCTCATTGCCAACCTGAGCCTACCCTGGCACAACTTGAGGCCATTCAAGTCACCGTGCAACCAGTTTGCCATCAGAACCAGGCCATGTAAGTGCTTATGTCTCTGCCTGAGCACCGCAGGGAAAGAAGAAAATACGTCTGAGAGCCAGGCTGGGGAAGGAGGAAATATGCATTTTGGGGCTGTGCTGGTGTGTTGTAGTTAGACCTTGGACTCCAGACTCAGAGAGAAGCTGAAAACTGGGGAAAGGATGAAAGGAGGAGGGCTATAGAGTCATTATAGGAGCAAGGTAAAGACTTCTACTACTATGGGAGTAGAAGACCCCCACTTGCTCTGCTAGCTGATGACCCCAGTCGCTCCAGGAGCTGGCACCACAGGCTGGGGGCTCTTACACCCCTAGTCTAACTGCGGTAGTTGGCACCCAGTTCACTCACAGAAGCTGGCATGTCGTCCTTCAGCATGCATACACAGGGGAGAGAATGTGAAAACACAGATCGTTAAGAAACAACAATCAGAAAAAGATAGAACAGTCTATGATAATCAAGCACAGGGTTCAGCCAGTGCAAGATCACTGCCCAGCCTCATTTGACATGTGACTGGCACTTTTATGCCCTTTTTTTTTAATCTATGCCCCATTTTGTTCCTCCTGTTGCCCCTTCCACCTGCACACTCCCCATGGCTTTGCAGAGCTCTGCAGTTTCCTGCACCCCTCCCAGCCCAGCCCCTGCCCCAGTTCACAGTCTTACCAGTTGCAAAGTCCAGGTTGATCTTCTTGGACGTGGTACGTGTAGTTTGATAGCCCATCAATTTGCATGACTAGAAGGTTTGTTTATCATTGTTTCCATTTCTGCTTTGTCAGGTCTGTGTCCCGGCATTTTGCTTATGACTCCCCCAACTTTTCTTCTTGTCATCCCAGTTCAGAAGTCCTCCATCAGATAACCCAGCTGGAATAAACATCCCCACATTGTCACATGCCCTCTTTGATTAGCGTGACTGATCAGACTTGGTTCCCACCACTTTATCCCTTTCTTATTCATTGTAAGATTGGAAAAGGCCCTTCACGAGATACCCTTTAAGAAGCAGACACTCTCCTTCTACACACACTTACATCCAGCCTTTGTGGCTATGAGCTGCTCCATCCCTTCCCAGTTTACCATTATCAGCAGGCTTGTGGAGGAGCCTTCTGTCCCTTTGTGTTGGTCAGTGACGATGGTGATGCTGAACAGCCCCAGTGCTGTTTTTTGAGCGATGTCACCCATAATTCGCTCCCCTTGGACTCCAAGGTGTTGACTACTGCACTTTTACCTTCACCTTTACCTTGCCTACCTGGCAGGGGGGCAGCTACCATTCCCTTCCTCTTCTTGGGCCTTTCTCTGGTTTGTTCTGAATGAATCAGTGCTGCCACAGAGGCACCACCACTGCTTCTGCCAAGCCTGAGGGGCTGCTGGTGTCAGCACCCGTTTGCTAATCAGTCATAACCTCTCTACTACCACTCTGCAGGAACAGGCTGCCAAGGGCCAAGGCAAATACAGGAGCATTTCTTGGGCTTGCAAGGGGTGGGATTAAGAAATCAATCGAAATCAATCTTTTTTTTTTTTTTTTCTTTTTTTCACAGATTGGAGTGACAAGAGATGAGCAAGGGCTAATAGGAGAGTTTCTGTAGATACCATCAAGCAGAAAACCAACAAAAAAGTGTTCGGTGCTGAAATTCTATGAAATGCTGTGCAGCCAAAGCAGAGCCCACTTCACCCACGATGTATTATTATATTCAGCAGGATACAATTACTACTGGCTTGTCTTGAAAACAGACACCAGTATGCGACAAATCTGTACCTTGACATTGGAGTATTTGTTATGTAAGATCATATCACTGCTGATTGCATAACTGTTGGGAGGAATGGGTTAAAAGATCGGCGAGGAGGATGGTATCAGAAGGGAGGACTGAGAAGGAGGATTGTAAATACACTCAAGCGACCTTGCAGGTGGGAATGAGTAACGTCTGGCAAGTAGTAATGTAGAAAAGTACATAAATTGTACCTGCTGCTGTTTGTGCTCTCTGTGTTTGGCAAGTAGCACATCTGTGTTGAGGAAGCAGGTGTTTGGAAGACGTGGAGGTGCCCTGCCAGACACGTGGGCTCCTGGCCTTGGTACAGAGAAGATCAAAGCAGCACAGCGAGGATCACAGCATGGTGGTAAAAACAGAGCCCTTGGTAAACAGGTGTAAAGAGCAGGCGGTGAGCTGCTGGCAGGAGCTGAGCTGAGCAGTGCCTGCGTCCCCCCCAGTGTGCCTCTGCCCAGGTGCAGCTTTGGGGATCCCCCAGCTGGCGAGGTAACGAGCAGAAATCTACTCTTTGCATTTTACCCATGGGGCTGGGGTTGTTCCCGCTGCCTCACACAAAACAGAGCATCAATAATGTGAGCTGAAAAACCATGACTTTCTGGTGCATTTTGAGATAGAGTGCCTTCCCGGACATTGAGGAGAAAGAGATCTTTCCAGGGTGATTCATCTGACCTGGGTTGTGTAATTTATGATAAGGTGAATATATATTCTATGATAGTGAATCACCTTCAAATTTGACTATTTTTTCCCTGTGACTACAAAATTGACCTGGGAAGCTCGTTTAGATGTAGATATTCCTAACAAGTCATCTATGTTTAGTCAAGTAGATCCTATCACTTGTATTTTTACTATATATTGTACCAGAAACACATTGTATCTTTCTTCAGCATTGAAAAAAATAAGTGAGAAAACACTAAACAACTTCTCTGTTTTTCTCTTTACAGCTCCCTTCACCTCTTTTTCCTCAAGGCCTAAACCAAGGGGGTTCAGCAGGGGAAAGACAATGGTGTAAAATGCAGAGATCACTTTGCCTGTGTCCAGAGACTACCTGGAGTTGGGCAGTAAATAGGGGAAGAAGAGGGAGCTGTAGAATAACCCAGCAGTAGCCAGAGGGCAGGTGCATGTAGATTAAACCTGCAGTTTGCCACGTGGATCCAGAGGATGCAGATACTGATCAGAAATGATGCCCAGAAAGGCTCTGGTTTGTATAAAGCCACAGAAGGCAAAGAGGAGGACTTTGCCAACGTGTTGTAGCAGGGGAGCTCCAGGGGTGGAAGAATGTCACATAAGAAATGGTTAATAGTGTTAGAGCCACAAAATGACAGGCTGGATGTGAAAAATGTGTACTAGTGAGGTCAGGCCCCTGCTGAGACAAGACCCGGTTACCATGGAGGGCCCTCTGGTACATGGCGACAGCATAGGGAAGAGATCATTTCTCTGAGATCATCCTCATCTCTAAACCTGTGCTGGAAGCATTTGAAACCAGCTCAACCTGATGTCATCTTTATCCCTGGTAAGGATGTAGCCTATCTACTATCAAAAGCTACAAACAGGAGCTTAGACGTCAAAGCTCCAGTTACACTGCACAAAATCCCACATAATAAAAAATGAAAACACCATAGCTGTGCAGCTGTCCCAATCCCTGCCTGTGCTGTGCTTTACAAAAGACCTTTTTGGCCTCTAAGAAGATGGCTGAAGTCTAAACGATGGCTGCGCTTGAAACTAGAAAAATACTGCATGATTGCAAAAGAACATCATACCAAGCAATTCGGACAGAAGATCGTAATGGGAGTAGACAAGTAACTGAAGCTTAAGGTAGAATGCATTATTCTGCATTAATGTGTTTAGGAAATATGTTATTCATACTATTCAGCTGGTTTTCTTTGCTACATGTATGCATATATGTGCACATACATATATACCTGTGGAAACACGTTTATAACGTCTCAAATTTCCCAGAGAGCTCATCTCACAACACCTCCTTTCCGTCAAGAAGAATCCCGTTGCGTGGTTTTGTTTTGGCCTAGTTTTAGATAGCAGATTACAACAGTTGTACTAAGCACAATACTCTGTTTTGAAATAAAAAGAATATGAGTGTTGGAGAGGAGGATGTCCAGAGATGAGGGCAAACCAACAGCAGCAGCAAAAAGAAATAGCACAAGATTTAGGATTAGGTTAGTGGTCAGGCTCAAGTTAGGGTTACCTTTTGGGTTTGGTTTAGGTTTAAGGTTAGTATTAGTTAAAGTGTGCTTCAGTTAGCAATAAAGTTTATCTTTAGGTTTGGGGAGAGGGTTAAGGTTAGGGTGTTGCTCAAGTTGGGGCACTGTTTGTGGATAAGGGTTATTCTTAGAATTTATGATTTGGGTTAGGTTCAGTGTTAATGCTAAATTTACTGCTATGGAATACATTTAGATTAGGGGTGAGGTCCAGGTTACAGATTAAGTTAAGGCTTCAGTTTATGGTTTAGGTTGTGATTGTTTTAGGGTTAGATTTCAAGGTTCTGTTTCAGTTTAGTGTTCGGGTTCCAAGTTCTGGTTCTGTCTCAGGTTAGAATTAGGGTTCAAGTTATGGTTATAGGGTTTAGTGTTAGTGTTCATGGAAACAGGTTAAGATTAGAGCTTAGGGTTTATGATTGTTAGGGTTAAATTTTAGGACTATGTTTAGGGTTTGGCTTTAGGTTTACAGTTAAAGCTATGGGTTAGGGCTGGATTTAGGGATTGCTCAAGGTAAGGTTTGGTTTAGGGTTATGGTTAGATTAGGGTGGGGGGTTACAGTTAGGGATTCAGGTAAGGGTTACTAGGGAGGGTTGGTTTAGGGCGATGTTTGAGAGAAAGACAACACACAGTCTTTTTCTGAGTGGGATTATGGAAGGACTGTCAAAAGATGTTGAGGGCTACCAAAATTTTTCCATTGTGAGAGGTATTTCATGGGAGCCCTAAACTGGGTGGGTGTTGGACCTTGGTACTCTCTAGGGTCAGTGTTTGCGTTAGGGGAGTGCTTTAAGTTTACAGTCAGGGTTCAGTTTCAGATCCAGACTAGTGCTCGTGTTTGGCTTCTGGAACAGTCTCAGATTATTGATTAGGTTTTAGGTTTGTGTTATAATTAAAAACAGGAATAGTGGACAGGGTCAGGCTTGGTATATACAGGTTAGGGATTCAGGGTAGATCTACAGTGAGGTTTCAGTTGACAGATAGGATTGGGGTTAGGCTAAGGAGGGTCAAGGTACAGCACAGGGTTTTGCATTAAGGTTATCCTTAGGATTGGGTTTTAACCATAAGGTTAGAGTTAGCGTTTAAGGCTTGGGGCTTATGTTTCTTGGTCAGGTTCAGTGTTAGGGTATGGGGAGTTTGTTAGGGTTAGATTTATGATTAGTGGTAAGCATCCATACACAGACAAGCACTGCTGCCAGAGAGGAAGCTGGGGATTGCACAAGAGGCTGGGAGGGAACAGAACCAGGACGGGTGAGCAAAGGGAGCAAAGGGATATTCCACACCATGTGACGCCCTTCTCAGCAGTAACAGCCAGAGTAACGAAGGAGGAAGGGCAGTGATCACGTTCGTGTTCCCAAGAAGCCCTTACACACGATGAGAGGGTACGCTTGGGGAGAGTAAGAGAGCCACTCTGTGGTGCTTAGCTGCCTGCCACGGTTAAGCTACAACACTCACCACACGCCAGCTGATGCCCAGCCAGTTCCTGAGCAGCCGCTGCGGCCAGCTCGCTCAGGGAGGAGTTGGATTTGCACAGCCAAATGCCAGCGGCTTCATTCAGTAGCAAAAAGAAAGCTGCAAAAGAAGAGAGAAAGCAGGACAGTGAACTGCAGCTGGGTCTGTCTGGACTCTAGCCCAAGTTTTCTAGGAAGAGTTCCCATAATAGAAAGTCTGTTTTCAGAGCTTGGTAGCTGCAGACAAGCAATATGCTGACAGCAACGTCATACCTTGATTTATTCTACTTACAAAAGGTGGAGAAATAAATGGTATTTGGGGTACAAAAATGTACCAAATGCCTTCTCTGCCATACCACAACATTTGTGTAAGTACACGAACAAGCACAGAACCTCGTGTCACGAAGCCACGGAGCATCCTGGCTGGGTACCCCTTGGCACAGAGAGGTTGCAGGGGAATTGAGTCAGCGATGCTGCTGGCTGCAGGGGGTGGGTGGGCATCACCACCACGTCCAAGATGCAGGTCCTGGTCTCCACACAGAAAAACTACGTTGGTAAAGCTGGTCCAGAAGAGGAGTGGCTGGGGGATGGAGGTGTCCCAGGTGCATAAATGTCACCTGGGCTGAAAGCAAGGTGGGTGGGAAGCTGCTGAGGACACAAGATGTGATCACTGACCAAAGACTGGCCTTTTTTTTTTTTTTTCTCCTGTCTTATTAAACTGTCCTTTTAGCTTAACCATGCATTCTCACATTTTTTCATTTCTCTCCCCTACTCTCAGGGAGAGTGAGAGACCAGCTGTGTCATGTTCAGCTGCCTGCTGGCTTAAACCACAAGAGCACACCAGCAGGGAACAAGGCTGGGCCCAGCTCTGAATCCTTCCACTCCCTCCATAACCTCGTCTTCTAGGGACAACTGTTTTCTTCACATGGAAGACATAAATAGCACGGGCAGACTTTTCATGGGCACTCTCTCATGCTGGCACAAAGGTGGCCAGAGCACACTGCCAGTATTATGAGTTGCAATTCATCCAGGGCTTCTTCTCTGTGGTATTTCTTCCCTTTTTTTGTCCACCTTGGGCCATGGTTTGTAAAGGGCAACAGTTATTTGTCTCTCAGCGTCACCAGCACAAGCTCCTGGGGCTTTCTCTAGGTCGCTGGAGGCTGCAAGGCACCATCCTACAGAAAGCAAACAGCAGGTGAAAGAATGGGCAGCTATCACCTGAGATGTTAAGGCACGAGGTATGGTAAGCATAAAACATGCTATGGGCCATAAAATAGCTACGTCCTGAAACTGCTGTGCTGTATTCGTGCCAGCAGAGAGCAGTGGCAGTACAGCAAAGCATCCTGCCTGCTTCTGGTGATGTACCCATGCATGGTATTCAATATCTTGGCCGGTTTAACGTTAATGTCTCCAGGTCACACGTGGAGGCTTAAGAAAGGTTTTTGGCTCTTCAGCATATTCAGGCACGACCATAAAATCAGCCCGCTCACAAAGCAGTTGGGGAGGTACCTTAGGATGTCTGTATGCAAGCCTCAACAGGTTCAATATCCTGGTTAGGGACAGGGATTTCTCCATTTTCTTGGACACCTCCAGGGACAGCGGCTGCACAGCTTTGCTTCCAGGCTCCTCTTCCAGTATCTTACTGTCCTCTGAGGGAGAAAAAAAAAAAAAAAACTTTTTTTTTTTTTACATCATGACAAACCCACCCATTTCAGTTTATGACCACATCCCTCACCTCACTGCTGCTTACCTCAGTAAGGCACCTGTTATTAGCTTCTTGATAAGCTGTGTGTAACTCACTGCTGTTGTGTCACCAAGCTGCTTCTCACCAGCTGAGTGCCTCTGCACCAAACCATCCCGCTGGGAACTGCTGGGCTTGCTGGAGGTGAGGGCGTGCAAGGCTGATTACAGCTATTACAGCCTATTGCTGCCCTCAGGTCTGTGTCACAGACAAGCTCCTGACAAATCCCATTTGCAAGCAGGCTCTAAGCTAATTAGAAATAATTAACCACTCTCCTTTAAGCCTAGTGACCTAGTCACCTACTGCGGTGACAGTATTTTCTGGTGGCACTGAATTATTTCAGGGTAAGGTCTGAAATTAAGGCCTGAATGAGAAAAGCAAGGCTCAAGTGGTTAATCAAGCTCTGCCAGGCTTCCCAGCTGGTGATGATAGCCTCCACTGCAAAGGTGCTTGCAGCAGCATCTTCACCTAAATTGGGTGACCCCTGAACCAGGGTTTTCAGATCTTACTAAATAGCTGGCATGTGGTCCTACTTGCCATCTCCAGGGCATGGGTTATCATTGCTTTTATTTTAAACTCTGCACTTTTTTTTTTCCGTCTTATAAATACAGATTGTCTTTTGTGTCCCATTTCAGCATCTGCAGGAACACTTTCTGCTGACTGCTTGGAAGTATCTTACCTGCATCCAGTTGGGTCAGTCCTGCAGCAGGACCAGCACTCTCCCACCCAGGATATTAATTAACACGTCAAGGCATACAAATACTTCCTATGTGCTGACCTCAGCACAGAAGATGGCCAGAGGAATGTCTGAGGTGGTCCAAAATCCCAACCCGGAGACCTGCTATGACGGGTAGTGGCTTTGTGCAAAGCCAGGTAGAGGCTGAAGCTCTGCAGTTTCTCCCACCCATCTTCCCTCAGTCCACAGTCTCACCTCTACATCTTCATCCCTCAACCACCCTGGAAACTGAAGACAAACTGAAGACACTGAAGTGTCCTCAGTTTGCACACAGACACAGCCTCTGTGCACAGCAATACCTTAATTTTAAGTATATCCAACTTGAATGTCACCCTTACACCACATTTATCACCCAAATGCCATAGATTGTGCCACAAACCAGGAACAAGCAAACTTTTTACTTACCCCATGTTTGCTATATGTTTATTCTCTTGTCCTATGATCCCATTGGTGGTGTCACAGGAAAGAAAACTGATCCCTTCTCTATCTGGAAACATTAACTCAGTGCCCACCAGTGTTCAAATTATGGGAGCCATATCCCAAATTGCAATGGCAAACTGGTGGGCATAGCAGAGAACAGTTTTTCCACAACCAAATAAATGCATATAAAGAAAAGAGAAAACCTAGATACTCTTGTCCCCCATCTCTCTTTTCATATGTATAGTAAAATCAGAAAAAAATATAGGAACTAGCAATTTGGCAGAAGGAAAAAGCAACTTTCTCCTGGTGTAGCCCACCTGTAACTCGTTTCTCAGCTTTTGCAAGAGGCTGGTGGACATCTGTAGAATTGAAAACCTTTCTATGGAAAAAAGTTGTTAACCTTGATAATAGTTATCCACTATTTCTCACAGATCTGTGGAAGATTTGGGTGGGGATACTTTGGAGGAAGCTTAAAAAAATAAATAAAAAAAATAAAAAACAGTGTTTCAAAGAATGAAAAGTGGTCCTCACTCTGTAACAGGTGCACAGTAACCTGTCTGAAACGTTTGTTTTTTCCCAAAGCTACTTGCATTACTAGTTTTTCTTCTTCACTTGTGATTGAGCCTGTAAAAAAAGAAAAAAAAAGAAAAAAAAAATCAGCAGCAACTGAGATCCTCATTAGCTCTGATTTTGTAACCTTACTGATCCTGTGTTTTTTGTAGAAACGTGCTCCCTTTAACACCTGGATGAACTTGCTATTTCTGCAGCGTTGTCCTAGTTTCGCCTGGGATCAAGTTAATTTTCTTCCTAGTAGCTGGTGTGGTGCTGTTTTCAATTTAGGATGAGAACAGTGCTGATGACACACCGATGTTTCAGCTGCTGCTGGGGACTCCTTACACCGAGCCAAGGACTTCCCAGGCTCTCACCCTGCCCTGCCAGCCAGGAGGCTGAGGGTGCACAAGCAGCTGGGAGGGGACACAACCAGGACAGCTGACCCCAACTGGCCAAAGGACTATCCCACATCATATGGTGCCATTCAGAGCAATAAAATGGGGTCAAGTTGGTCCGGGGCTGGTGTTGATTAGGGACAGGCTGGGTATCAGTTAGTTGGTGGTGAGCAATTGCATTGTGCATCACTTGTTTTGTTCCTTTTTTTGTGGTTATTTTTTTTTTTTTCTTTTTTTCCTTCTCCCCCCCCCCCCCCCTCTTTCTTATTAAACTCTCCTTTTATCTCAACCACAAATTCTCACGATTTTTTCATTTCTCTCCCCCACTCTCAGGGAGAGTGAGACACCAGCTGTGTCGTGTTCAGCTGCCTGCTGGGTTAACCCACAAGAGCACACCAGCAGGGAACAAGGCTGGGCCCAGCTCTAAATCCTTCCACTCCCTCCATAACCTCATCTTCTAGGGACAACAGTTTTCTTCGCACGCAAGTGTGAGAAACACCTCAAATAATTCTCTTCAGACAGGACCTTCTGTGAAGCCATTTTATTCGCGATTGCAATGGCGGGCGTCCTGTCAATCAGGAGCATGTTTTAATAAACAAATCATAACCTTTTATTTCCTGTTACTGATCCCTGATCACCTCCCCTGTTTCCTCATTGCCTGAGTACTGCAGGTTCACAAGCTACTCAATGCTCCTTTATACCATAGATATACAATTTTTTTTTTTTTTTTGAACCCTTTAATTTCTCCTTTCTTATGTTTTGAGAACTTGTGATCTTTGTCTTTACTGTTCTCACACTGCTCATCCTGTTTTTCTCAAGCTTCTACCTTATTTGGGAACAGTGAGGTCTTCTACTGTCCACTTATCTACTTAGCATTTCTCCTTGTTATGACTACACAACCACCTTGGAATACAGAAAAGCAATTCTCTACTGCAAAAACACAACTTTGTTCCTCACAGAAGACATAAGTAGCACGGGCAGACTTTTCATAGGCACTATCTCACTGCCAGCACAAAGGTGGCCAGAGCGCACTGCCAGTATTACAAGTTAAAATTCATCCAGGGTTTCTTTTCTGTTCCTTTTTTCCTCTTTGTTCTGCATCGTTTGTTTTTGTTTGTTTTCCTTTTCTCTTTCTTATTAAGCTATACTTATCTCAAGCCACAATTTCTCACGCTTTTTCTTATTTCAGTTCTCTTCCCCCATCCCGCTCAGGCGTGCAGGGAGTGAGTCAATGGCCCTGTGGTGTTTAGTGACCTAACAGAATAAACCACAGAAGACATTTCATACACGAGGTACACTTCATGTGATTATTTTTTTTTTTTTGGTTAAGAATCATGAATTCGTATTTTTATGAATCCTGCAATCTAGTCCAGATCTCACCAGTCTTGACAAAGTCATTTCTATCGATCCTAACACTTCTTAGCTCATTCAGCAAAATCAAATAGCAACAGGTATGTGATAACTTGATGGGTGAATCACTTAGGAATCCATATATCTTAGGGTTTTATTTTCCTCAAAGTATTTCAACTAAGAGCTGTAGCCAGTTTAATCCTTCTTTGGCTGTGGGGTCACCTAAAAGCCCCCCGCTTGGATGACAAAAGATCTCTAGAGCCATTTGTAGCCAGCTGCTTTAAAGAAACACTTGAGACACTGAAGTAGTCCCATGATGATTGTGAAATAGTAAAAATTGCAGAAGAATGCCCCAGAATGACAAGAGCTGATTAAAGTAAAATGAATAAGCAAAATGAAATGTTTTAAGAACTAAAATTAATTAGGAATTGCTTCATTTGCTTTAAATGATTATCCTCACTCTCTTTCTTTGTAAGCCTCCAGGCTTTCAGTGCAAAACTTTAATACAACTTTTCACAATAAATTAGAACTGAGAATGTATTTTCACTTACAGTAACAGGGCTCCCTGAAGCACTGCCATGGGAAACAAGCTCCAAGAACTGCAGGCCTTATTATGGCCGTGGGTACCATGACAGCTACTCCCTGATATGGGGACTGAGCAGTGCTCACCTTATCCATCAAGCAGCATCTCCTCTCTCTGCTGGCTTCTGAGGGATAAGGAAAGCATGACCTGAGGGCTGTCTTCACATCTTTGGTTTCCCCTTATGCATTTCAGGTGGAAGGCTTCTCCTGGCCATTTTCCAGGCTTTATTCTAGGCTTCCTCACCGTGCTGTTTTTCACCATCCTCACTCTCTTACAACACACCCTGTTAGAAGCCAAACACCAAAAGGCAGAAGGGCAGATGAAAGAGTGAGAAGTAGAGCCAAGAGAGATAGAAAAAAAATGAATAGCAGATTCATTTGGAAAACACAACTTAAAAAAAAAAAATGAGCTCGGCTTAAGGGATTTCATCATGTTGAGAAGAACATTTCCTGATTCAACAGAAAAGCAGACTGTGGTCCAGAGCAACCCAGATTTCTCTGCTTCTGTCCGCCGAGTTCAGCGCGTGCAGCACCATCCTTTTGCCAGGCATTTCAGGCTTGTTTTGGCCTCATGTGGGCAAAATGAAAACATCTTTCTTGCTCACTCTTCGTTCTGTAAATCACATGCTAAGCTTCCACGAGTCTTTTGTGCCATGCCCTGGTAGTCACCAGATTTGGCACACTTCAGTCCAAATAAAGAAGGAAATTTTTGAAAAATCATTAAAAACAATAAAATGGCAAGCCAGTCTTCATTTTCCATTAAAAACAGCATCTGTTACTGTGCTTGGTGTTGCAATATATTGGCCCATTAACCGGGTCTTCTGTGAGCATCTGCTCTTAGTAAAAGATCTTGGCAACTTGTAGCTACAAAAGGTCTAGTTTGCAGGCTGCACAAAGCTTTGGGATTGGAAAAAAAAATAGTAAAAGCTTGTGGGTTGAGATAAAGACAGTTTAATAGGGCAGAAAAGAAAGAAGTCATAATAATAACAGTAGTAATAACAATAATACGTACAAAGCAAGTGATGCACAATGCAATTGCTCACCACCCGCTGACTGATGCCCAGCCTGTCTCCAAGCAGCAGTCCCCCAGCCACCCCATATTAATTGCTCAGTGGAATTGCCTAATTAATTGCTTAATATGGTATGGAACGACCCTGTGGCCACTTGGGGTCAGCTGTCCTGGTTTTGTCCCCTCCCAGCTCCTTGTGTACCCCCAGCCTCCTTGCTGGCAGCGGAGCGTGAGAAGCCCAAAAGTCCTTGGCTTAGTGTAAGCACTGCTCTACAACAATTAAAACATCAGTGTGTTATCAACATTATTCTCATCCTAAATCCCAAACACAGCACCATACCAGCTGCTAGGAGAAAAATTAACTCTATCATAGCCAAAACCAGGACAATGTAAAGGCCTGTACAGGTAGAGGATATCAGTTGCTCTTCCTTTGTCCACCGATGTGTCAGTCCAGCATAGAAGGCCAAGAGTTTAGTCAGGTTTAGTTTGGCTGTGGTTAGGCCATGTTGGCTGTAATCTCTAAATCTGCTTGGTTTTAGGTCAGCCCAATCTTTGATACGGATCCACACAGACCTTTTGTTTCAAAGGAGCACAAGCATCCCCTGCAAAAATCTTTAAAATAAAAAATA